CTTGCACTCAGTGAAACAAATTTAAGTTCTGCAATTCCTTCTTCAGATGTCAGTGTTGATGGGTACTATCCTTTGATTCGTAAAGACTCCAATAGTCACATGCTAGGTTTAGGGGTATACATACGCATTAATTCCCCTATTTGTCGTGAAATCAGGTTCGAATCCTTTGACCATTCTTTTATGTGCTTTCGCCTAGCACCTCTTCACTCTATCACCTTTCTCTTTGTTCTTTAACGTTCTCCTTCTTCCCATGCTTGCACTCTTTTAGATGTTATCTCTGATCAAATTGACCATGCCCTCTCTCTTTACCCCTCCGCAAATATTGTTGTTGTTGGTGATTTTAATGCCTATCACACTGAATGGCTTGGCTCTAACACCACTGATCCTGCTGGCACTAAAGCCTTTAACTTCTGCGTTTCTCAATCTCTTACTCAGATAGTTAACTTTGTGACTCGTTTTCCTGACAATCCTAATCATTTACCTTCACTCCTTGACTTATGTCTTGTCTCTGAACCTAGCTTATGTTCAGTTTCTCCCTTTTCTCCCTTAGGTGGTTCTGACCATGCAATGATCTCTATAAATCTTTCTTCTCGTACTTCTTTTTTGGGCTCACCTTATCATCGCACCACCTACTACTACCCTAAAGCTGATTGGGATTCCTTTCGTGATTTTCTTCGTGATGGTCCTTGGGCTGATGTTTTTTCTCTCTCAGCTGACAAATGCGCCTCCTACGTAACCTCCTGGATTCAGGCTGGAATGGAAGCTTTTATTCCTTCTCGTCGGTTTCAAGTCAAGCCTCACTCTACTCCATGGTTTTCTCCTTCTTGTGCGGCTGCTATATCCAATCGTAACCATTTTTTTCAACTTTTTCAAAAGAACAACTCTCTTGAGAACAAACGGCTATTTATTATTGCAAGAAATCGATGTAAAAAGGTGCTTTCTGATGCTAAACTCCATTATTCTCAGTTCACTAAATCTCGCATCTTATCGCAGAAGTTAGGCTCTAAAAACTTTTGGAAAATCTTCAACAACATTGTTAACAAGGGTAGATCTAACATTCCATCTCTCATTCATGGGACTGATCTTGTTACCTCTCCCAGGGATAAGGCAGAACTGTTTGCAAAGAACTTTTCTTCTAATTCCACTCTTGAATCTTATGGACATTCTCTTCCTTCCATTCCAGTCAAACAGGTTGACCCATTGTTAGACATTCAAATCACTCCGGCTTCTGTTGCTAAAGTCATATCTCAATTAAACTCGTCTACAGCTTGTGGTCCAGACAACATTCCTGTCACAGTCTTGCAGAATTGTTCTCCAGAACTTTCTTCAATTCTCTCTAAACTATTTAAGAAGTGTTTGACTGAGTCTTGTTTTCCTGCTTGTTGGAAAATGGCATCTGTGGTTCCAATATTCAAAAACTCTGGAGAAAATTCTGACCCCTCCAATTATCGTCCGATCAGTCTTCTTTCTGTTATTAGCAAGGTCTTTGAGTCTTTGATCAACAAATTCCTCACATCTCATCTTGAGTAATAATGGAGGCGTTGAGGCTAGGGCTATTGCTCTCGACATATCTAAAGCTTTCAACAAAGTTTGGCATGCTGGTCTTCTCCATAAGCTTGCTTCATATGATGTTTCTGGGAAAGTTTTTGAGATTATCAAATCATTTCTTTCTAACCGGTTTATTAAAGTCATCCTTGAAGGCCAACACTCTTCTTTGTTTCCAGTAACTTCTGGGGTTCCCCAAGGTTCCATCCTGGGCCCTGTTTTGT